AGAGACTATGTCACACTTTGATATTATATTAAAATCATAAATAATTTCCTATTTTACAGAGGTTGGCCGTTGATCCACCTTTGAAACATGATAAAGCTTTCCTCTGGTTTGTACTCTGGCGTATGCCCACCTTCCTGTAATCAAAATCCACAACTCAATAAAGACCGCAAAAAATATTGAGTTGAAATAAAAAGAAAAGAAAAAGAGGAAAGACTTGCTTTGACAGTAGCAAATGTCATCTTATTTTCATAAGTCCTTGTGTATCTGTCAAGTAAGAGTCAACAGTAATCTCAAACGTGAGTTTAATGGAAGGAATGAACAACTTAAGAAAGATGGGTGCTTATATATACCCAGCGATTTGATTATTGATCATCCATGGCCTCCAGTCATCAATAATAGAATAGTTGAGAGACCTTATCCAAGCTTGGGTTCCAAGGTAAGGCACTGCCATATCGTGATCCCCACTATTCACCAAAACAAAACTCACAAAATTTAAAAAATCCATGAATCATTTAGGAAACAAAGATATCAAAAAATTAATAAATGGTAAAAACTCTAACCTGAAGATGAGAGAACGATATCCATTGATACTGTTGTTCTTATGGTAAGGTACGCTGCTTATAATGTCCTTAGTGTAAGGAATATGTCTATTACATCGTACCCATTCTTCTATACTCTCCTACCAATCATATAAATCGCCTCATATATAAGACTAGACCAAATCTTAAAGTAATTAGTCATATATATACCTCCTTGATTTGAAGAGCTTTGCGTACGGTTTTGTCATTGACCCAGTAGGTAGCTAACAAATAGCGATAAATCTGCAAAACCAAACTTATGTATATATATTATTTCTCAATGGTTGGATACGGTAAACATGGAGCAAGATGGATTTACTTACGTAGCAATCTGGAGTGTAAGTGTAGCACCTAGGTAATTGTATGCTAAATCTGTATATTTTATCCGTACACTATATAAACAACCATAATAAAATCTGAATTAAGTTGGCAGAAGACACAATGTCAGCTAAAACAAGTTCCTCGAGTATAATTAGGTGTACCTTATGATATTCCTCAACGAGTTTCAAGCATTCTGTGTTACGTGGATCAACATTTACATATTCTCCTTTGCATGTTCTTTTCAGTGACTGCATGCGAACATGTTAATTACTTATATTGTGGAAACAAAAGAAAATGTAATGATGTGTTCATACCTCGTAGAGTTCATCAGAGATGAACGCCATACCATGAGCATATGGAATACGGTAGTTATAATCAGTTTTAGGTTCTGTTATTGGATTACCGAGCACGTAACCCTATACGTGGCATTGACCAAAAATATCAATTTTAGTGCTTGGGAATACATATATTTATATGAAGACAATCTCAAACTATTTATAGGCCTTAACGCGTATTTTATTGGTTACAAGTTTTTCTAGTTACACATATTATATAAGTTGTTTAAATATTTTGACTGAAAGCTCTAACAATGGTCTATTTGCACATGCAAATATATATATGATAAAGAAATCACAAAGAACCTGAAGATTTATTGGAGGATTGCAACACTTGTAATTTCCTGCATGATCATCATGTTTCTTCTGTTATAGTAGTTTATTAAGAGATGAAAAAAAATGATACTTGATCCCCCCCCCCCAAAAAAAAAAGAGAAAATGATACTATAAGTTGACGCTAATATCATACATAAAAACAAACATATATACCTTTTGAGATTTCATGAACGAGAGCCGGAACAACCATACCGGAATAAGAATCTCCTCCGACATAAACAGGGTTGGAGAAAAACTCTTGATGCTTGTCTAGCCACTGCACAACAACAACAACAAATAAAAATGAAAAGGGCTCTTAATATGCACTAAGAAACTTCTCTTTTGTCATTAATTTACCTTTTGAAGAAACTCATGGATTCGTTTGGCCTCTCCTGAATCACTAGGTTTGTTAAAAAGATGGGTTCTTGAGTAAGAGAAGCCAGTTCCAACAGGCTGCTCCAAGTATATTATGCTTGAAGTCTGATGAAAATGATCAAAAATTAAATGATTTATCGGTGTTTGTGATCATCATATACACACTTTTGTGTTACCTTTGTCCATGAGTATGTAGTAGAGACCAAAGATGGGACGGTTCCATTGTAAACATCAAGCTTCATAGCCAGAGGCCCTATTGAATTGAACGAGTTATAGTCATAGACACAAAACAAGGAACTGAAGAAGACCAATGTTTTATATTTTACCATTCTCAAATAAAAGGCCAGAGATGGAAGAGCAGCCAGGTCCTCCACTTAGCCAGATAAGAAGAGGGTCTTCTTCAGGGTTCCTCTCAGACTTGATGAAGTAGTAGAACAATTGCACTACCTCCTTCTCACCAACACCAATGTAACTTCATTCACAAGAAACAATAATAACCTACTTAGAATATCTAAAAACTCAAAGACTCAATTAATCACAACAAGAAGAGAAAACAAACCCGGTTTCAAGCTCAAATGGGAGAGGGCCATCAAAACCAGGGAGATACTTGATGATAGAGGCAGAAACAGCAGTTTGAATCAAGAGGACAAGTTGAAGAAGCAGAAGCAGCCATTTCAGAACAGAGGAAACATAGTCGTTAGCCATTTGTATTTCCAAGTCAATGTGGCCTTTAATGACAGGACACGTTATTGGATCTTTATACTAAAAACCATTAGAAGTCGCCACCCACTATTCCATGTTTCAAGTTTGGATTCATCACTGAACTATTTTAATAAGAAAATTTCGTATATTATCATGTTAACAGAATACAATATTACTTGTTAATTGTCCTCGCACTTGTCGTGAGCATTTAAACAAGTTTTTCTTCTTTTTTATTTTTCAACATGATGTAATTATTTGTGTTACATCAAGGTTAGTTTAAACACCAAATCATATGTTTATAGCATCTGTGATTTGATACATTCTCATCGTGCTAGAATATGTACACACTTTGATAAAACAATTAGAGAATCACAATCTCTTGTTGTTTATACGTCTCTGGCCTGTTTCACAGAGGTTGGCCATTGATCCACCTTTGAAACATGATGAAGCTTTCCTCTGGTTTAAACTCTGCTGTGTGTCCACCTCCCTATAATCCGAAACACATTACTCCATCAAGTTCAAACCGCAACGCAAGAAAATTATCAAAAAAAAAAAGAGGAAAAACTTGCTTTGATAGTAGTAAATGTCATCTTATTTGCATAAGTCCTTGTATATCTGCCAAGTAAGAGTCATGAGTAATCTCAACGTGATATATAAACAATTAAAGAAAGATGGGTTTATATATATATATATATATATATACCCAGCGATTTGATCGTTGATCAACCATGGCCTCCAATCATCAACGATGGAGTAGTTGAGAGATCTTATCCAGGCTTGAGTTCCCGAGTAAGGCACTACCATATCGTGATCACCGCTGTTCACCAAAAAAACGCACAAAGTTTACATAAAAGCCTTGAATCTTGTTGGTAGGGCCAAAAAAAAACAAGATAGAACTCTGACCTGAAGATGAGAGAGCGATAGCCACTGATGCTATTATTCATATGGTAAGGTACGCTACTTATAATGTCATTAGTGTAAGGAATATGTCTATTACATCGTGCCCATTCTTCTATACTCCCCTGTAATCATAGATCCTCTTTTATAAGACTTGACACTGTTTCTTTCTTTACCAAAAACTTGTAAAATGAACTTTGTCTTATATATATTTACCTTTTTTTTTTTTGACAAAAGGCTTTATATTTACCTTAGTGATATGAAGAGCTTTGCGTACGCTTTCGTCATTGGCCCAGTAGGTAGCTAGCACATATCGATAAATCTGCAAAGCCAACCTTGTATATATTATATATATAGATATGTACATTATTTATTCTTTGACTCAATGTTAAGATATGTATTACTTACGTAGCAATCTGGAGTTTCAGATGCGCACGCTGGTTCTAATATAAGATAAGGGGTTATCATCTTTGTACACTGTAAAATAGCCACAAAAAAATAGGTCTAAATCTAGTGATGGTCTTTGAACAAGGCATACACATCATCAACTGAGAAAATTCACGAGTGCGTGTGTGTGTGTTACCTTATTATATTCTTCAACGAGTTTCAAGCATTCTGTGTTACATGGATCAACATTGATATATTTTCCTTGGCAGACTCTCTTCAGTGACTGCAACAATAATAATAGACTCAACCGCATGATATGATAAATTTGCATTATGGGAAAACATGAAACAAACGGAAAGTTCATGATTCATACCACATAGAGCTCATCAGAGATCAATGCCATTCCGTGAGCAAATGGAATGCGGTAGTTAAAATCAATCTCAGATTCTGTTTTCGGGTTACCGAGCACATAACCCTGTTGAAACATGATGTCTTTAATGCTTGCCATATCTTATATAAGAAGCAACAAATTAAATATACTGATGAACCTTGAGATTTATTGGAGGTTTGCAGCATTGGTAATTTCCTGCATCATCATCATCATTAGGGCTGGACATAAAATCCGTAACCCGAAATCCGAACCTTCGAGCCCTTTTCTCAAACATGTTATCATCATGTTTGAGAAAAAGGGCTTGAATGTTGAAATCACAGAAACATACATACCTTTTGAAATTTCTTGAACGAGAGCCGGAACAACCATACCGGAATAAGAATCTCCCCCAACATAGAAAGGGTTAGAGAAAAACTCTTCATGGTTTCCTAGCCACTTCAGAACAGCAACAAAGAAAAGAAAAGGAAGCTACTAAATTGTATGCACAAAGAACAGTTGCTTTTTTCATACTCCTTACGTCAGATGTAGCAATCTTAACATATTTGGAAAAAAACTCAAGTTCTTTTTTTTCTTTTTTACCTTTTGAAGAAACTCATGGATCCGTTTGGCCTCTCCTGAATCACTTGATTTATCAATAAGATGAGTTTTTGAGTAGGAGAAGCCAGTACCAACGGGCTGATCCAAGTATATAATGCTCGAAGTCTGAGGAATATGATAAAAGAATCGATCAACGGTGGTCACATCATGATTAAACACACTAATTATTGTTACCTTTGTCCATGAGTATGTAGTAGAAACCAAAGATGGGACGGTTCCATTGTAAACATCAAGCTTCATAGCCATAGGCCCTGTTTCGAGTTGCAGTTATAAACACAAAATAAGGAACTGAAGAAGATCAATGGTTTCAGATTTTTTTTACCATTCTCAAATAAAAGGCCAGAGATGGAAGAGCAGCCAGGTCCTCCACTTAACCAGAGAAGAAGAGGGTCTTCTTCAGGGTTCCTCTCAGACTTGATGAAGTAGTAGAACAATTGCACTTCCTCCTTCTCCCCAACACCAATGTAACTTCATTCACAAGTAACAATAATAACCTACTTAGAATATCTAAAAACTCAATTAATCACAACAAGAAGAGAAAACAAACCCGGTTTCTAGCTCAAATGGGAGAGGGCCATCAAAACCAGGAAGATACTTGACGATAGAGAAAGAATCAGCATTTTGAATCAAGAAGACAAGTTGAAGAAGCAGAAGCAGCCATTTTAGAACAAAGGAAACATAGTCGTTAGCCATTCGGTTTTCAGTTCTGAGAAAAACCAGTTCCTCTAAGGACTCTTCATCTTTTAACACTTATAACGAGTGAAAACCAAAAAAAGAAAAGTCGTTACACACTCTTCATCTTTTAACTTTGGCTTCATCACTGAAACTTGTAACATTTTTTTAAATAGGAATATTCCGTGCCTGATCTTCAAACCATATATAATAATTTTAACAGAATACCTACTTTTAATTGTTCTGGCGAGGATAAAAACAAACAAATCTCAATTGGGCTAACAAGATTGATTAATATGTTTAGTGATACGTCATCGTCATCATACACTGTAAATCTGTAAACAGACAAACCTCAACGGTTTAACAAGATTGATTAAGGGAATTAGACTCATCAGCAAGGCATCTCTTCGTCTTCTTCTCAATATAACGTTCATTAACCAATAGTTTCATCTTTTCTCCAATTCACCCCAAATGTTCATAAAAAGATATAAATAAACCAAATAATCAAGCAAGCTTTGCTCTTGAAGGGGAAGCGGTTGGTTTTTTGATTGCTCTGCAACAAGTTTGGATCAAGGGATGGCGTCAGGTTTGGTTTGAAGGTGATAATGAAGAACTAACTAATATCATCAATAAAGTTATTGGAAATCATCTAAAGATTGGAAACGTTCTTCATGATATTAGACATTGGATGTCTTTTCTTCCTCTGTGTTCGTTAGCTCCGGTGAATAGAGAACGAAATACTGCTGCGGATAAGCTATCAAAAGAAGCTTGTAATATCACATCTACTTATGTTTTTAATAATCTTTCACCTGTATGGATGATGAACTACTTGTATTTCCCTTTTACGATTTAATAAAAGCTATGGTGTTAAAAAAAAAAAAAAAATCAAGCAAGCTTTTATGTTATGCTAGAGATATTAACATACATACAATAACCATATGTTTTATTCCATAAAAACCCTTGGTATTGTCACAACCCCTTCTTACTTACAAATATAACCATATGTTTTATTTCATCTAAACCCTTGGTATTGCCACAATCATTGTTAACATACACACAACAACCATATATTTTTTTTTTCATACAAACCCTAATTGGTTACATCACAAACATTCTCAAACCCAATACAACATAACAAGATTTCACATTTTAGAACAAAGGGAACCTCCACGACCACGAACGAGTGTTGAGATGACAGTTGGAGTTTGGATCATCATAAGACCTTTGAAACTTAACAGCAAAAGATTGATCATTACTAAGAACCAAACGTCGAACTCCAAGTTCATCAGTCTCTAGACCCACGTTGATACACGCAACAGATGAGATAACCGGACAATACATAAGCTTATAAGCATCTCCATCTTCTTGAATCTGAAACAAACTATTCCCTTTACCTTTCTCACCACCAATGCTTACAAAGCTCTTCCTAAGTTCCACAGAATGGTCGATTCTCCACACTTTTGATTCAGGGCATAACCAAACCGTGGAATCAAACTCGAGGCTGAGACTAGTTTGGAGCTGGACATGCTTGGCTTTGGTGTTGATGAGTGGAGAGAAAGTTACTGGAAGACCCGAGACAAAAGGAGACGGTGACTGGACAACGTCGAGATTCAGACACGTGTCTTGTGTGTTTGCATTTCGGCTTAAAGGGATAAGACCACCTCCGGTTCCGATCTTAGCCGGTATTATGTAGTATTGGGCATTGGACTGAACTGAATGTCCTGTTGTGTCTAGGACTGCTTTGCTTGGTACGGTCGCTGAAGCTAAGGTTGAGAGAACGGTGAGAGTGGTGAAACAGAGAATAAGCATCTTCATTATTAGGTTAGAGTTTGTGGTGTGTAGTGTGTAGGATAGCTTATCTTTTGTATGTGTTTCTTTATGTAACAAAAATGCTGATAACAGTTGGAAATAAATTTGTAACCAGAATAATTGAAGTTTGTAGCGTACTATAGGTCTTTTTCATTCATCAAGAAATAATATCCACTCAATCTACGCACGTTTTTCGCATCTCAAAATGTCGTGTAACAAATATTTTGTCACTTAGTAAACATTTTCCAAGGAAACAATTATTGTTTAGATATGACATTACTAGCCAATGAAAAGTATTAACAAATACCAAACCAAGAGACCATTGAGAGATTCTTACGGTGAGTTTCTTTCCATAATATAAAAATCCGTTTTTTAATTTTTAACTAAAAAAGGTTAATAACCATTTCTTAAATAAAATATCTAAAAATTAGAAAACGGGTTCTTATATTCCGCTAAGAAAAAACTCCTCAATGGAAATATTCTTAGTGTATGCAGTTTAAGTAGATTTTGGTCCATCTTTTCAAGGAGTGGGATTAACTTTTAATCAAAAAAAAATATTTGTTGGAACAAAAATTATACATATACATTTGCTTTCAATGTGCTTCCAATCACAGCTAAACAATAATTAGCATTGGTGTGAAGTGTAAACAGTGAAGCGTGTAACAGTATGATTGAGCAACAAGTCAGGAGTCTCCGGCTAACTCGGAGGCTTTCTTCCCAACGCTTCTTACCCAAGACTGTCTTAGCTGGCTCCTGCTGTCTACTAACGCCATTTGCATTATAATAATCATTTTCTTATATTTTCATACGCATACTCTCATATTTTCTGTATCAAAAGTCTGTCTACTTATTTTTTCTCTTATAAATTACTAAATGAAGACGAACAAAACATGTAAAACTATATAATTTTTTTTCTTAATCATATTGACTATGCAAATATGTATAATTAAAAACTCCAAACAGACCACGTTTGCGTCTAAAACGCGTTGTTTTCTGATGCGGCTCACGAACTCTCGTCGTAAAAACATTATTATTAGCCAATAGGCGGTTCGGAACCACACCTTTTTGACTCAGTTTTTTTTAGTGGCTCCATAAAGTTTGACCTTACCTAATGATTCCTTCACCGTCACGTTAACCTAAAAAAGGCTACTTGAGGTCAAAGCAACGTCACAACACTACATCGACGACTCTCTACTTTCTTTTATAATGCTTAACATTATCACCTCCTTTTTTCATTTTTTTCCAATTTTTAATATACAATTTTCCTCAGTTGCTGCTTACTTCTTCTACAATCTTAGCTGTAAACTATGTATATAAAACTCTCCACAAACTCTCCACACACATCAAGACAGAACACAACAGAGGAAACTGACTTTAATGGCCGAATATACAGGAGAATCCTATTGGCTTCTCTCTGTTTCTGCATTAACCACGTTTCTTGCCTTCGTCATTCTCTTGGGAATAACAAGAAGAAAGAGAAGGCAGCCTCACAAGCTGCCTCCAGGAAGCAGAGGATTGCCTTTGATCGGAGACACCGTCGCTTGGCTCAATGCTGTTTCTGGTTCTCATCCTTCAAGCTTCGTCGAGAAACAAGTCAAGAGGTTCCTATTTCATCTCCTTGAAGCAATAAAACCATCTTTACGATATAAAAATCAAAACTTGCATGATCATAAGCTCTGTTTTACAATGCTCTGTTTTACAAGGCTCTGTTTTGTAATGCTTTGTTTTTGGATTAACAGGTATGGGAGGGTATTTTCGTAAATCATCTCCGCACATCAATAAAACCATCTTATACGATATAAAAATCAAAACTTGCATGAAAGATAAACTCTGTTTTGCTATGCTCTGTTTTTACTCTGTTTTTTGCTCTGTTTCTTGAGTTTAGGTATGGGAGGATATTCTCTTGTAGCTTGTTCGGGAAATGGGCAGTGGTGTCAGCAGACCCGGTTTTCAACCGGTTCATAATGCAGAACGAAGGCAAGCTGTTTCAGTCAAGTTATCCAAAGTCTTTCAGGGATTTGGTGGGAAAAGATGGAATCATCACAGTCCATGGTGAGCAGCAGAGACGGCTTCACTCAATCGCATCGAGCATGATGCGTCAAGACCAGCTCAAGACTCATTTCCTTGAGGATATCCCCGCGGTTATGCTTCAGACATTGACTAACTTCGAGGACGGTGAAGTCGTGCTTCTCCAAGATGTCTGCAGAAAGGCAAGTGATTGAAGTAGAACAAGAAATGTCTCCTTGATAGATTTATGATCTTTGTTTTGGTTCTGTTATTCAGGTTGCGATTCATCTTATGGTTAACCAACTTCTTGGCGTGTCGAGTGAATCAGAAGTCGATGAAATGTCTCAGCTTTTCTCTGATTTTGTTGATGGATGTCTCTCTGTTCCTATCAACCTTCCTGGTTTCACTTACCACAAAGCAATGAAGGTAATGATCACATAAAACAGAACTAATGTTGGTTCTTCCGCATTGGAGTTGGGTTGTCTGAGAGTTTTCTTGGTTCTTGTTCAGGCGAGAAAGGAGATCATAAGGAAGATAAACAAGACGGTAGAGAAGCTGTTACATAACAAAGAAGCAGATACTGCTGGGAACGGTGTACTTGGAAGGTTGCTTGAAGAAGAGAGCTTACCAAATGAATCCATGGCAGATTTCATCATCAATCTTATGTTTGCTGGAAATGAAACCACCGCGAAAACAATGCTCTTTGCTGTTTACTTCCTCACTCACTGTCCTAAGGCCATGACCCAAATCCTGGTAATGTCTTGGATTGGTGATGATAACAAATGACTTCCTCTTGGCTTTCTGTTTTGTTTAGCTTCTGAAACATTCTGTAAATGAGCAGGAGGAACACGAGAAGTTTGCGGGCGAAACGCTAACATGGCAAGATTACAAGAAGATGGACTTCACTCAATGTGTAAGTCAAATCAAGAATCTCAAGAAACTTCCTGCTTCTCATCTTTCATGCTAAAGATTAAAGAACTCAAGTGGAAACTTTCTTGGTTTCTCAACAGGTAATAGATGAAACACTCAGGCTTGGGGGAATTGCAATATGGCTAATGAGAGAGGCTAAAGAAGATGTCTCATATCAAGGTACGTGATTTGTTTATTTGGTATATACAACAGAAACATGGTCTAAAACTCCTCTGTTTCTGGCTCTAAGCAGATTACGTGATTCCCAAGGGATGCTTCGTGGTTCCGTTTCTCTCAGCAGTACACTTAGACGAGAGCTACTACAAGGAAAGTCTTTCCTTCGATCCATGGCGATGGCTTGACCCTGAAACTCAGGTTCTTTTTTTACTTTTCCTTTTGACATTCAATCATTACTTCATTGTATCAACTTGTAAGCTAATAATATCCATTGATGTGAATGAAGCAAAAGAGGAATTGGAGAACGAGTCCTTACTATTGCCCATTTGGTGGAGGAACTCGGTTTTGTCCAGGAGCAGAGCTTGCTCGCCTTCAAATAGCTCTCTTCCTACATTACTTCATCACAACATACAGGTTAGTCAGTGTACATGTTCTTCTGCTTCTGAGTATTTGTCTGAACTGAATCAATCAGATATCTGACTCATCCTTGTTACATCTTATTAGGTGGACGCAACTTAAGGAAGATAGTATCTCCTTCTTTCCTTCTGCTCGTCTAGTGAATGGTTTTAAAATCCAGTTGAACAGACGAGAGAAAGATCCTCATTGTCAATAATCAAACCAACAATCTTCACCCCTGTAGAAATCTTTTTAATGATATGTATATTCACTGTAAAACGCAAGTGATTTTTGTTGTCATTATTGTAACTCCAGATTTGAATATTAGTGTTTTAACTCCATAGTCACTCCAACATAACAAACTACTCTGTACACTAAAGACTCCACTAAAAACACACAGAACATAGGACTTTCGCTAACCTCTACCACCTTTTTCAGTAAATCTTGCTGCCTACGTTGTGACATCATCCTCTTCGATTCTACTTTCGCTTAGAGAATATTTGGGCTCCAACGTCTTCCAGGACTGGACTCAAGAAGATAACGAAATCGAACAAGGATGAAATCGATGGTAATGACTCCACCACTCAACAAGAGATTGTTCTACATCATAAGTTGGTTTTTTGTTTTTTTGGTTTGGTCTCTTTATTCTCAAACTATAATAATAGCCCATATCTAGGCCCGTTATAACTGTAAGCGCAATATTCCTCTCTACTTCTGAGGGATCATTATCAGGAAATAAATACCGAAATACTGGACAACATTAATTATTTTTGAAAACAATTTCACGTGTTTAAAAATTTGATAAATCTACTATATGCTAAGAAAAAAATCAGTCTGTTTAGAAGAATGAGAACTCATTAAATTTGCAAAACAGTATACAAGTATGAAAATTTATTTCATGTCACATTCGATTTTATTTATGTATCATCTACTCAAATTTTGATTGCATACAACATTTATGATTTTTTTAAAGTTCTGACGTGGTGGAGCTTAGACCTTAACAATAGTTTCAATAATTCACAACAGATAGTTAGATACAAGAATAACTATCTAATTAATTTTCGTTTGTTTGAGCTATTATTGAAAAAAGAAAAAAAAAACTCTAATCCTCTTAGACTGTAACGTCAAAGTATCCTTTATTGGCATGGACCCTAGTTTAGATAGAAATTACATTTACTCTATAAACATATGGATCAACCCTACAAGGAAAAATTGTTCATAATTAAATCAGAAATCTACATCCAATCTTTTTGACAGAAAAAATAATTTTGTATGTATTTGATAAATGATATAGTAAATAATAAAATAAAATAAGAAAATCTTTAATAAACAGAACCCGCACGTTCAACGTTTTGTTTTGTTTTGGTCCAGAGGAAGGGGTCTTGAGACAAGACATGAAATCTTCACCAATAAGTTTTGATCATCATTAACTCTATTATTAGATTTGGATCCAACAAGAGGAGTGATGGGGGTTTTTGGTCTGTACGAAGGCAGTTTCCTTTAATAGCGTACCAACCAAAAGTCATTTTGTCAGATTTCATTTCATCACCTAACCTAACCCAACCTCTCTTTC